GAACACACAGTGTCGAGGAGCCTTCGAACACTCATCGATGATTTACTGTATTCGTTCCCTTTCACATCATACTTCTAATTTAAAATCACATTACTTATTACTACACCGTGGATCCACACAAGATACCATAACAATTGATAATCTTTTTACGTTATTATACGACCAATAGAATTTTTAATACGGGAAGAAGGTTTTCGCCTAACTTTAAATTCTTATCACCTGTATTTCTCGTATAATATTTCCACGTGTCTATCAAAAAGAAAATAGACATATATCCCGGAACGAAATTGAGAAGAAAAAAAAAGCGCGATCGTTGAAGAGTTTCATGAAAACCATGTTGTTCCGTTTCCAGGCACATTACTCGAACCATTATCGGGAATTTTCCGAACGTGTGTGGAAATACCGGAAACGCTTGCGGGAAAGCGAACCGGCAAAGTTTACTCGTTATATTTTTTCCGCACCGAGCTGCGCCGAACATTACCTCGCCGCAATTTTACAAAAATATGAGATTTCATAGTCGCCAGCCGCTGCTGCAAAATATTTCTTTTTTTTTCCGGTCGCGGCGAATTGTCGGCAATCCGCGAGGCAGAGCCGCATGACCGCGAAACGAAAACCGTTAGATAATGGGCTTTTAAAGCGCGTGCGAAACCGGAAATACGGGAAACGCGTTCGTTAGAGCGACTGTAAAAGTTTTTCTATCCCCGTAGGCCTGCGGCATTATTACGCGATTATTCGTGAGCGATGAATTCCATTGTTCTTCTCCAATTCACCGTTAACTATCCTCCATTATAATTGTACAACGAAAATGCACTCGAAGCATCAGAATACAGGAGAAAGAAAAGTACAGTAAAACCTCGATTACTGTTCAGAGGAAGTGTTAAAATTTCGCTTCTCAACATTCACTCCAAGTTTCAACTAACAACAACGCTGAAAGCAAATGTAAAGTTGGGATCAGTCTTGATACATAACGAAATTTTTGTTGTACGTGACTTAAAAAATTAACTTCGGTGAAATTGTACTTTAAAAGACATAAACGCTTTACTTTTCTTTTTGCGTTATACATATATATATATATAATACATACTTGCATGTATTGTATATATTTTCTAGACATTCCAAGTATTTTTAATTTCTGGAAAATTACGAGCTTATTTCGAATACGCCGTATCACCGAGTCTAAAATTACACTGTACAGTAAATCATCGATGAGTGTTGGAAGCCTTCTCGACACTGACGAAGAGAAGTATAATGCTGACTTTTTAATGAGCTTTATCACAGTAATAGAGCTTGGAATTCTGCATCCAATGATATTTGTTTCAGCCACATATGGCCACTAGTTTGTGAAATATTTAATGTTCAGTGGCGAGGAACCTTCAAGCACTCATCGATGATTTATTATATCCCTCAGGCTAGCATTAAAAATCTATCTCAACAGTTGATTAATAGCCGTTTATACATTTTTTTTCTGTTTTGTCACAATCTATACCAAAAACTCATTTACCTGTTCACAAATTTTCACTCTGCACGAGGGGTCGAAAGAGTTGCGTTTCATTTCACGAAATTGCTACCTGCTCCAGTCGCCTGTACCCTGTACCCCGATGCATGCCATAACCGACACAACGCTGAAACGTGAGCGCGGTCTTACTTTCACCGTCAAACGTCTTCATATTTCCCTGGTAAAATTCTGCGATAGAAGATCGTCGGAAAATCAGAGAGAAGCTTATCCCGGACTTCAAATTTCACAAATCCTTTAGCGCATTTCCCTGCCCCAATTTCGTCCCGAAGTTCGATTTCTAGGGCGCTTCCTCAACCTGTGTTGGAGGGGGCAAATTATAAACAGCAAACGAGGTGGAAGATTTTTCGGTTCCGATCCCATTGGTAATTGAGGTCCAGTGACCCCTCCCCCCCCTCAATGACGTGAAATTAACGGTTACTAACAATCACATCTACTACAAGCAACCGCGAAAAAAATCGCCTCGTTCGATTAATGTTCCGGAGACGTTCGTTTTCGTCAGTGAACTTCGTTTGGAGGGGAACAATCCAACGGAGTCGCCGACGATAAAACGTTGTCCAGGATCATTCGGAAATAATTTCGCGAACGAGCTGCGCCGGAAGCGAAGATATTTCCATTGTTACGACAGTTTTCGAGGATCCGAAAGGGGGGTGGGGCAATTCGACGTCGCGACGCCGCTCGAAATTCCGTTTCCTGTGGATCCATACGGCGATCGTGACCGGTTCCTCTGTTCGACTCGAAGTTTTATCATTCCGGTTGATCGAGGACGCGTACTAAGCTGTCGCGCCGTGTTCCTTTAGGGCAGCCGAATTAGAATTCTTGGGGTGTAATGGCGTGTGTAACGAAATTGGCCCAGGGTACGCCAGACTGCCTGGTAATTATCGATTGAGTAATGTCGATGACTCCTCCGGAAGGAAGATGGTTGTCGAGGACAGACTTGAAAAGTCGACAGTTGATGGTCTCCGAGGGCAGCTGAATTGTACCGGTGTGTTTTTGTGCGGTGGTGTGTATGCGTATGTGTGTCGGAATAATTTTTTGGTGCAAACGTGCCGAATCTGTTCGGCGAAAATGTGTGCTTGATACCGGTGGAAAAAAGGAATGGAGGGGAGGTATGTTTGATTAGGGTATTGATATCGAATGAAAATACTTTCCCGTGTTTGTTAAACATGAAGTAAATTGATGAAAAAGTGTTAGTGACGAGTTGTATGAAGTTTGTGTATAATATTTATTCAGAGAGGACACACAGCGTACGTTGATTTGAAATTATACATTTTTTTCTTTTTGATTTGAAAACTCTTACAAGCGAACGAAATAATTCATCACTTTTCGCGAAATTTTAAGCAATAACGCGTTATTATATTTTTACATTTTGTAGAATAATGATCTATGATGTCTAATTACGAGGGAATACATTACGAAACAGCGTTTATATAAAATAAGACACTTTAGTTTGGAAAATACACGAAATTTTCTGTGATGTAATTTTAGATGTTCTTTCGGATTATTCATATTTTGTTCAACGAAACTTTGTATTTTCGTTCTTTCCGCTCAGATAAGAGTAGGTAATGAAGATTAATTACCACGATCTTCAAAGATCAAAGGGATCTATGATGGGAAGGATCTCGGATTAAAAGGATTTCACGTAGTTGTTAAAATATCTCGTTTCTTGGGAATGCAAAAACAGCTTTCGAAAGGAAAAATTTTATTCGGCGCGAACGCGCAAGGTACAGATAATTTTATCAATTTTTTTCTCACGGTTATTGCATTTTATACAATATCCTCCTCCCCCCCCCGGACTATGCACTATGCATTGGAACTTTATCTTCAGGAGTTGCACTTTGAAACCCAATCTTTTGAGGATACACGGTGAAACTTAATCTTTAAAGGCTACACACTGAAACAGGATCTTGCTACGAGAGCCATAATTAATCTTCCAGTGGAAATGAAAGATGATGAATTGAACGATTTCGTCAAAGACCGTATCATCCATTTGATGCTGCCGCGCTTGGCCGGAAATTGAATTCCCCGAGATCATCTCGTTATTATTCAATCACTTCGAATTGTGACATTAATTAAAAAACAGAGAATGTTTGTTGTTTCGTGACAGTTTACTTGTGTGTAAACATTCATTCGACCATTGTCTCAATCCCCTTTTTTTGTTTCTCTCTCTGTATTTTTTTTTTTAATTTTCCCCTTGTGCAGTTGGTGTGCACGCTCGTTACGTACCGTGGACACAGGTTCACGTACACGTATTTGATTTTCGTAAAAAAATATTTCCCTCTCTTGTTTGATCGCTCTCACGATCATCTAAATCAGCCCGAAGAGTGCTTATCCAGACGTTGAAATCGATTGGATAAAAATATTTTGTACTTTAAGGGTAATAAATTAGGAGTGATATTATATCGTTGATAGATTAATAAATATTGTTTCACTATGAATGTTATCTAACCGCCTAAACTTTCTGAGTTTATTTTTCGCCGGTATCTCTAGAAGGATTCTTTGATATCTCGATATCTTTACCAACTAACTTGAAAGAGATATACGAATGCAATTAATTTACATTGAGAAATTTCAAGAATTGTGAAAATACTTAAAAAAGTAAAACGATCAGTCATCGCGAAGAATTGAATTCTTTAGTGAAAGATTCAACTGGAGTGTTTGAAGACTTGAATTATTCAATTCGTATTTCAATTTTCATGCCACGATTAGATTAACTCATAATTTTCTGTTACAGGTGAGTGTAACGTGCTTGACTGTTGGCGAAAATAGAATCTCGTAGAACTACATATGTAAGTGCGAACTTTTCTCTATCTTCGAATCAAAATATTATGACTTGAAACGACATTGAAGACGTCAGTTCATTTGATAATATTATTAGACTCGTTAATATATATGTTTCTTGACGATAATGACTGCACGCATAAAAAGGTTCACACAGGAATATACGTTGTGGCATTCGATTCTGAATTGTGTTAATGTCAATGCACTTGCTTATGTAATTGCATTTTACGATGATGTTCTCTGTGATTTTGAATATGGTAATCGTCGGTGTCGCAGTACGATTTGAATAAGGTGAATTTTCCACGATCTTTCATTGTACTTTTTCGATTGAAACTTCGCCTCGCGTGCTCTTTGCTGAATTTACTATTCATTTCATATTTGCGAGAGTCACGAGAGAAAATAATACACCGAGTACTTGTAAACATTTCATTGAATATACATATCTCACAATAATTTCTATAATAATTTACGAATGGTAGGTTTGAATAAATCACGTCGAAAATGCAATCGCAATCGCAGTGCGTAAAAAGTGAACTATAATATGTTCCGCTCCAGACGCGATACATTTATAATCGATTTTCGTAATACTAATCATTTATATTCATTATTTGCATTTGCAAGGTAATCGTCAATATTTCCAGCGTCGAATATTTACGTTCATTTCCGTAATATTAATTTTCCGCCGAAGAATTTCATTTCAAAAATGTTCGCTTCAAAAACAGTCTGTTTATTAACCATTCTCTTTTTGTCAATATTTTACAATTTATGAGATCCAAAAATGTGCGAAATCTCCCGCAAAATATTACGAGTTAATGGAAAAATAAATTATTAATAATTTATGGGAATACAGACGTTCCTCTTGACAGTAGTGATACGTCTTTCCAGTTGTTTTGAAAAGATCGAAAATCATGGTCAACAAGATTTACTTTCATTTTATACTACGTATTAAATAAGATACACTACCGATTAAAAGTTTAAAATCACTTTGTGAATAGAAGGAAACAAAAGATTTGTTTTTTTGAGAGAACAAATTTAGTTTGAATTACTTTGTAATTGTTCTTAGAAATACGAAATTTCTAATATTATAAAATTGGGCGTGTGAATTTAAACTTTTGGTCGGCAAGTTATGAGATTATCGACCAGGTAATTAACGTAGGTACCATTTTAAAATAATATCGTTCCTACTCATCGAAGTCTTCGATGGGTTTTAACTCCTCTTCTTTGCATACATGTAGCTCGTCTTATAGAAGTCGTAGAAAAGTGCGAAGTTTATTATTAGATTTGTTATGATGACGGTAGCCGGTATCGTCGTTATTGGACAATATGGAAGGTATGTTTGTCCGCTGTGCAATATTAGGATGATGAACTGTCCCTATTTGAAGAGAAATAGAAATCTATTAGTATATTAAACTTATGAAATACCTGACCTCTCATAATGCATTAAAGAATTGAGACGCACGTAGCACATTTCAAAATAGACAGAACAATCGAGTTCGATTGAATTTGCAATCTGCTCGATTCTAATCTAATAGCGATAGCGATACTTTGTATTAAAAATTGTGTTAAATTCTTTGTGTCCTAACTCTAGAGATTTTTCTCGTTTTAACAGAAGTATTGTTATAACAAAACAGCAACAAAAATGACTAAATTTGTCTCGAATACAGTTAAATCTGAGCATCGCCATTATACAACTTGTGATTTTTGAAATTTTCTGTTCTTCCTATTCTGCTCTTCCTATTTTTATCTTCTTCTTATTTCTTTTTTTATTGTGTATATGTTTCTGCTACGGTGCCACAAAGTTCTTAATGTTACGTATTATCTATTTACCATTTGCATCAAGGTCAACAGCGGTTTGACGGGATTCAGTATTTTCTGCGCGGTTGGGCCGAACGCGCTCACGAAGTAATAAGTGTACATGATCACGTGTATACTGCAGTTCACCACTAGCGTGAATGAAGCCATCGCGACCGGAATGTATCTCGTCATGAGCCATGCTATTAACAACGTCGATACGTGATGGTACAGGTGTAAGAACGAAATCTGCCTCTCCTTCTTTCTGAGCACGAACACCACCGTTTCGACCAGGTCGATGAGCTTCAGCATCATCGCGAGCCACATTGTGAAAGATATCTGTAACAGTCGACAGAATCGACTTCGACTATTAATGAAAGGCCCAGATTGTATTCAGAGAACGAGAAACTTAATGTCGTATTATGGGAATAGTAGCTTATTCCGGGAACTTATGATATTCGCATTATATAATGAAATTTGAGATGCGAATAGCGAAAAATTAACGAACGACGAACTTGTTCGTTAGTCTGAATTCTAACACTTTAAACACTAGAACTACCGAAAATGACAGATGTCAGATTTTTGTTTATTTTACAGTTACTGAAATCCTCCAGATACCTTCCTCGGAATTTATGTGAACCTCTAATTTTTTATACACTTTATATTATAGTACAGTAAGTTATAATGCATTATATATTAACTTAGCATACATTCAATGCTGGTAGTTCTGGTGTTAACATGTTCCTGCCAATGTCGCGTAAAAGTGTTATGAAGGTAAGTTTCGTGACGTAAAATTTTTTTATAAACTTGAATTTAGACGCGGTATTAGTGTCGAAAAACATGATCTTGCAACAATGATGTCTTGTATATCGTACTGAAGGGCTCGTCTCGTGAATGAGATAAATAATAATAATTTTTAAATACCTTCAATGGACTGGGTTCATACGAGAAATCCGGTATTTCGCAGAATATCGATATTGTCGTGAACCAACCCGCGCTGATGAACTGTTGAACTATGTACGAGTTAAAGATAATTTGAAAAATGTTGTAGCATTTCACAAATGTTTTCAAACTGTACGGCTTCCTGTTCTTCATGTACTCCGGCCCGAATTTCAGAACGATGAACAAATACACAACAAGAATACTAGGGATCAGAACGGGTGATGCCATGAATGGCAGGTTGTTCGTTCTTGGATCTGGAATTACGGAAGATTACAATTTCTATATATTTATCAAATAATATCGTACATGTTTGAAACGAAACATAAACAGACATTTTAAACTGAATTCCTCTCGCTATTCCTAGGGCATATTATACACATCACCTGATTCACTTGAACAATTTCGTATAGGAACATTTTATTCCTATTTTATTTCTGTTATTGCAAATTTTCACACGTAAATTCAGTTGAAAAATCTAAAATTATCAGTTGGCAATTTGCTCATCTCTTAATCACTACATTTTTTATCATTCGTCTGCACTTTTAAAGATATTAAAATTGTGTGAGAACAGTTACAATACTGTTTCTATCGACAAGTAAAAATTGAGTTTTAACCGGAGTAGACATCTCGTTTTAAGCCCAATCAAAGGTTCCAAATCGCGAATTCAGAACAAGAAGGTGACTATGCACTGCCAGTGTACAAATTTTCGGCATAGATGTGTGACATGCTGTTTGCTGTTTCTTTTATCGAGCATTATATGAAGAGACAGTGTTTGTTCTAGTTACGTACCACTTTTTTGATTCCAGTAAATATCGTAAACCTCCGCGAATTCCATATTGAACACCTGGTTTTCTCTTTACCCAGAACACACGAACAAACTCGTTACTTAACGTCGCGTTACCGGTGCCGTCGCGAATATTACGCTTTAATGTTTATAACGGCACTCTGTCGTGTCTGTTATAGACATAGAAGCGTATTAAACCGAGCCCGATTAACGTATTGTCGTTAAATGTTCCACGATCACGAAGGACCGAACGTATTTATAAAGCTGATCGTCGTGCGCGCATTCGAAATCCGTGTCACGGCAGTCCCTTTTAATATGTGCATCGATTTAAAGCGCAGAAGGTCTTTCAAAAAGTCATGAAAGATCACACAGCTATTGTCCGAAGAAACGGTTTGACGTTACATGAGCTACTTCTCGACATATTAGTATGCTCTACGAATTTTATTTCCATTAGCAATCGACTAATGACGGAAACGCTACCTGTTCGTCTACTTTTACTGTACCTACTCTTTCCGCGTTGTGTCTGTGTGTGTTGCAAGTGCAACCTTCGTAATAAATAAATTATGAAGACAGTATTAAACACGCGTAGTTTCGACAGAAATCACAATATCGGAGTAATTATGGCTTGTAATCTGATTGTGTACACGGGCTACCGATTACACTTTATAAACAAAAAGAATCCAAGTGAAATTTGTAAATAATTCATGATTGAACTTTTCGTGTAGATACGTCTAAAAGATTCGAATGATCTCTAAAAAAGTCAGAAGTGCAAAGTGAGCTTACGAAAAAAATGATTAGTCAAAAAGGTTGCATTTGAAAAAATTCGTAAGAGTGAGTGTTTGGTCTGATTAAAAAATGACTTACATAGTAATGTATATTGGTTCATTTAATGTGTATGAGAAGAATCGCGGACAAAATTATATTCCGTTAATTACACAAAATACTTGATAAGTGTTTGAAGGCTCCTCGGCACTGAACATTAAATATTTTATAAATTGATGGTCATAAACGGCTGAAACAAATATGCAGTGGCTTCAGAATTCCAAGATCTATCACTGTGCCACGCCTCATTAAAAAGTCAGCGTTGCACCCGGGAACTTCTCCTTGTCAGTGTCGAGGTGCCTTCGAGTACTCATCGATGATTTACTGTACGTGTTTTGGAATTGTTTCATATTGTTACTTCATAGCTGGGTAAAAATAGGTTGGATTAAAAGTATCAGAAAGAGTTCTCGTGATTATTTACTGTTATAAAACTTTTCAACTATACGAGTTTCCATTAATGGCAAGTATTCCTGTACAGAAACGTGGTGTAAAAAAGTTTGAATTCAATGTAATTTCGAGGTCCAGTTATTTGTATGTTATTTGATAGCAGAAGCATAATTTATTATGAAATTGTATGCGTTCGAAACTCTTTTGCTAGTGGAATGAAAATGCAAGAAACGTTCGAGCAGGAAGATTACTGTTGATAAAGTACCTGGTCAATCCGGAAAATTGATCCTCGTGCATGGGTCACATATTCTTGCTTCCATTCCCAGGAGATCCGGATTACTGGGATTGCATTTCATATTGTCGCTAATATTTCAATCGCCTTGATCTTGAAATGATAACGCGGTAGAATAATACATTTCACTGTATTTTTTATGTAATTGCGCGAAAAATTGAATATTCTATTTTTCTCGGAAAAAATCTGTTTCGCATGAAAAATTACAGTTCTCCCGAAAAACAAATTATACACATTTCTGTCACTAAACATCGATGCTTTCTCTTAGTAGTTTGAGCTTCCTTGAGTAATTTGTTCTGTCCTTTCTTGGAGCTTCTGTTTGACTGACTTGTAATTGCACTACATGTATCGATTACTAAATGTTCTGACTGCGTTCGTCTAACCCTGTTGGTTACTTTCAACTAAGTATGCACTTCCTGCACCCATTGCTTATATTCATTTCGTCTCATCGTCTCGCCTAGATACATTAATAACATCTATTTGCGCTTGAACAAGTAGCGGTGTTCCCATTATCGATACCGGAATATCTGATGTAGTGCATTTAATCTAAATCTTAATGTGGTCACTACTTTACTGAATTGTGACAGCTGGATTAAATGCTAACATTTTTAAGAGGTGGGGCAATGATATTCAATTTTCAGAGGTAATTAGGACCAAGAAAGTTTCTTTTTAATAGACAGCGAGCAGAGATTATAATATGATCGATGCAACGATCAAAGATCTGAACTTGATCAGTGCAGTCATTTTAGGCATACATTAGATCTGTACTGACAATGAGTTGAACGAGATATATTATATCCAGGATTGGGATACTTAAATTGGAGCCATCTAGGAAGAAGTCATTTTTATCGGTCAAGTTACAAGGGACCCGAATCCTACCAATCCACAATCGAATAGTCGAATCGAATTCACCCAAGATCAGCATCATTCGGACCAATCCAAGATCAAACGACTTGAATAGAACCAATTCAGTGACCTAGAGTCTTGAACCAGACCAGGCTGGTCTTAATCAAGTCTCTAAGACCTGACTTAGACTCAACGGATTATAATCATTTAACCCTGTACTCGTGGACTCAACTTTTCAATGCATGCAAAACAAGAAATAGGTATTTATAACTTTTCATATCATGAAATCTTTTATTTAAATATTACCGATTAAAGCGTTAAAAATATAAAAGGACAACTAAGCAAAACGGTAAAGCTCGTTCGAGGAACAAATCGGACAATTCCCATTATATCGTATCCGAGGAGCTCCCCAGAGAGTACGTTAAATATCGGGTGATTCAGGTAGTTCATTCAGTTGAATCTGTCACGAGGGAATCAATACAATTTCTAAGATTCCAGTTCCGGTCAATCCCGTCCGAAGCGTTCTCGAAACTAAAAGAAATCCTCGAACGTTAATGAAAAAACTTCCTCTCTTTTCGCTCAGCCCGCAATCCCAGCAATCACGTATACAAATACAACCTTCCAATAAGGACTCTTACTTTCCCTGTAACCCCACAAAAATCACAGCTTTCTTTCCCGTTGTTCCGTTAATCTTGGCTCGGAAACGGTACAAACTTCATCAGAAACACAACCATATTCCTCATCTCTAGCTCCGTGTTAAATATTTATGACCCGAAAAACCAATATCGAACTGCCATCCATGATGCGAAAAGGGGTCAAGCCCCTTCCTTTGATCTTCAAAATGTCCTATCTTTCGATATTCAGCATTGTGTCTCGCCAGGTTGCATCGAGCCTAGAGAACAGCCAGTTCAGATTTTAAATGTTCCCTTCCCCTGGCCACATGATGCAGTAATCGAGCAGTTAAGACGGCCAGGGTGTTTTCGAGCCTATGAAGTTGGCGCAGGAATCAGGGGGGATGTATTAAGCATCGCTAATCGAGGTAGCATAGTCGACGTAAGCTGCCAGGAGTAAAGTGGTAACTCCGCTGGCAGCGGTGGCTGGTTAGGGGATGGGCTGGTCGAACGTCCGCCCCTTGGAGCCCCTCGCTAAGTGCTGCAATTTATTTTATTACCTCACACGCGCCCGCGCGCGACTGTATGCTGGTTCTACGTTTGGAAACCTTCATTCGGTGGCTCGATTCGCGGCGAAAATACACCCGGGTCGAGAGGGGCGAGGAGGAGTAATTTACACTCGGGAGGGTAACCGAGAAAACGGACACGTTGTATCGACACGAACGAAAACAGAGGGGTCGTTTCGTTTCGCTGCTGTTGACACTTCATTTCTGTCGACGATCCCCGGGCCGGCCGCGTTCGCTCGACCTCTCCCGCATTCCTCTAACCCGGGGAAGTCTGATCGGATTTTCCTTTCGATTGTCTTTTGATTTACGGGCGTTCGAGACAGCCAGGCTGGTGCGCGTGGGCGACCGCGCGTGCGTGTGTGGGTCTATGGAAGTCACTGGGGAAAAATGAGAATGAAAATGGAGTGGATCTCGCGCGGTCACCGATGGCTGAATAGGGAAAACGGGGGTCGCCCCGGTGGATCCCGGGGCCTCTCGGCTGTCTACGCGATCATTATAGTGTCTGGCGAATTTGTTCGGTCCGTCGCACGCTGGTCCAGAATTAAAATGTAGCAGCGTATATACGCTTGTTCAGCTCAATCAATCGAAAGTTTGAAAAATTTATCAGTTTATTTAAGTAGAAGTGGATAAATGAACAAATTTATGTTTTAAGGATCCTCTTCGATGACAGCATTGTTTACTAAGGAGTCTTTGGGACTGAACGCTTAGATAATATATATTGGGTTTCCTCAGAAGGTGACTCTATAAGAAAAAATAAGTCGAAGAAAAAGAATAAATTTTTTCGTTTCAGGTTCTGTTTTTGAGAAAATTGGGATTGAAAAGTGAATCCTCGATGAATGTTCGAAGACTCTTGGGGACTAAACATTAAAAAGTCTCCGTTACAACTGGGGTTTTCTCCTTGTCAGGACCTTTCGAACGCTCATCGAGGATTTACTGTGGAGGTTGTTGGTCTTGTTTTAAATTATAGTGCGATATAAATTTTACGCAAACAATTTTGTAATGGTATTTAAATAATTCAGCTTCATTGCAATGTACGTGATGTGGCAGTCAAACTGCTAATAAAATTTCTAACATGCTACAACCTTTCCTTCCCTTATCCACAAGAACCATGCCAATAAAGAAATCAACGTTCGCTAGCGAAGAATCATCGTGAAATAATATCTCGCAAGATTCGCATCCCCAATTAAAATTCATTGTTTCCCGAAAGTCGGGCGTCGAGGAAAACTATGAAACTAAACGCGTGTTCGGTGGTCCCTTAATCCTAAAAACGGCGAGGAAGTCACGTTCCTATCGTAAACCGGGCACACCGCATGGTTGATGCCCATAACATCCGGAGTAGGTAATCGCGTCAAAAAAAAAAAAAAAAAAGCGCACGTGCTTGCAGGGAGCCGGTAAATTGCAACGCGCAAATTATCGGCTGCAAATACGCGCACGCGTGCGCGTTCACCTCGGCCAGCACTATTCTCTAAAGCTTCTCGATGCATTCATCTGTCGAACAAAGTCCTGGTCGTGTTTAACCGTATTTTCGAGCCGCTTATACAGGGTATCCCATTTAAATCGACTAATTGAATGTTTCCGAAACTATTGACGATATTAAGAAATGTTTCAGACAAAAGTCAGGTGGTACATACTAGGAGGAGTACTTTCTGATGTAATTTTTTTTTTGTGGATGTGTAGGGGTCA